TCCAAGATAGGCAGATCGTACGTTTTTTTAATCCCTTTACAACCATCGCAAGACTAAAGTCTTGCGATGGTTGTAGAGTGTATGGCCACCTTTCTAGCCAGGAAAAGAGCCCCATAGAAGTCAATGGGGATGTACAGTGGAGGCGCGGGCAGGAGGAGGAGACGTACGCCACAGGATGTAAACAATTGAGGCCGGGTCTGTCAGAACTCAATAAAGTAAAATTCAAAAGCTGCTTAAGGTTTGCTGAAAGCGTTCACAATGCTTTATAAAAGCTCCCTGTACACATTGGGGGGAATTCATAAGAACTGGAGCAGACAGATTCTGGAGAAGTTGCCCATAGCAACCAATCAGCTTCTCTTTTCACTCTGTTCAGTTAAGCTTTGATAATGAAACAGAGAAGCTTACTGGTTGCCATGGGCAACCGCTCCAGATTCTGTCTGCTCTAGTTTTTATGAACTCCCCACATTGCTCTTAAAGGATAACTATGGGGTTAAGGCTTTTCCCCATAGTTCTCCTTTGGGTAACGGGAGGACACAAACTAGCGGTATACTGAGACGCCGCAGCTGAAAGGGATCCCGACAATTATGTCTGGATCCACCCAGCTGCGTGAGTGACAGCTGGCTCTGCCTATCTAGAGGCAGAGCCAGCTGTACCCGCCCCCTCCCCCGTCCGTTCCGCCAGTCAGCGCTGGCGGATCGGAGCGGGGAGGGGGGAATTCAGCCCCTCCCCTGTCACGGCAGAGAGACGTGACAGGATCGAGAGGTGAGCGAACGCCGGTATGTGTTCGCTCACCTCCCGATCTACTGAGCCGACCTGTGACAGTCTCATTGTCACAGGTCGGCTAGAACTATGAGGTGAGTGAAAAGCGATTTGAACTTTATTTCCAGACCCGCGTCTTCTTTCTTCGCTCATTGGGCAGCCACTGTTAATGAAACTCCCACACATGCACAATGGCGCTATATGATTCCGCCACTGAACTGAGCTCTCAGTATCTGTACACATAGGCCGTGGTTAAGTCAGCGCATACGCTTTAAAAAATTGCTATGAAAAAGACAACTAGTGTAAGATTGCTGCATTCAGCTGGACTAGGAGCGTCTCACAATGTACATTACAAGCTGCAGCACGTTAGATAGAGCCCGTCTCATTTCCTTGAGGACATCCAGCATCATCTAGCACTGCTAGATGCAGGGTGCCGTAATGTTTTCAGGAAGCTATGTACAGCACCCTGCTGGCTCCTCCCACCACCAATGATCTGCCTACATTACACAGAGAAGAACAGAGACCCAGTGATGGCATCGCTGGGTCAAAAAAAAAAGTATGTAATGAAAACGGAATAGTTTTAGTTAAAAATGTAATTAGCATATTAATGGGGGAGGGGCAAAATTAAAGTTCACTTCTAATTTAAAGTGTATCTCTTTTTTAGTTTTGGATAGCGTGGGTAGGAGCAGACCCTCTGTCAGTTTTTATTGCTGTCTGTGTCCCCATTGGGGAGACTCACCCTATTTGTACTGGTGACTATAGTCATTGAGAGAGAAAGTGAGAGGAAATCCAAAATGTTGTCCCCAGAACAAGAGGTAAGGGGAAATCTTCCAATGGGGACATCTGTTCTAGACACAACTCTCTAAGGCAGCAAAACATGTATTTGAGGGATTTCCTCTAACTTTTTGTTGCATCTCTAGGACAGGAAGTAAAGGGACTCTCCCCCACTCATACACATACAGCATCTCTAGGACAGGAAGTAAAGGGATTCTCCCCCACTGATACACAGACAGCATCTCTAGGACAGGAAGTAAAGGGACTCTCCCCCCACTCATACACAGACAGCATCTCTAGGACAGGAAGTAAAGGGGACTCCCGCCAAGTGTTATACAGACAGCATCTCTGGTACAGGAAGAAAAGGGACTCTCCCCCAAGTGGTGCACAGACAGCATCTCTAGGAAAGGAAGTAAATTGACTCTCCCCAAGTGGTACACAGACAGCATCTCTAGGACAAGAAGTAAAGGGGGAGACTCTCCACCAAATGGTACACAGACAACATCTCTAGGACAGGAAGTAAAGGGGACTCTCCACCATTCATTGGGCAGCCACTGTTAATGAAACTCCCACACATGCACAATGGCGCTATATGATTCCGCCACTGAACTGAGCTCTCAGTATCTGTACACATAGGCCGTGGTTAAGTCAGCGCATACGCTTTAAAAAATTGCTATGAAAAAGACAACTAGTGTAAGATTGCTGCATTCAGCTGGACTAGGAGCGTCTCACAATGTACATTACAAGCTGCAGCACGTTAGATAGAGCCCGTCTCATTTCCTTGAGGACATCCAGCATCATCTAGCACTGCTAGATGCAGGGTGCCGTAATGTTTTCAGGAAGCTATGTACAGCACCCTGCTGGCTCCTCCCACCACCAATGATCTGCCTACATTACACAGAGAAGAACAGAGACCCAGTGATGGCATCGCTGGGTCAAAAAAAAAAGTATGTAATGAAAACGGAATAGTTTTAGTTAAAAATGTAATTAGCATATTAATGGGGGAGGGGCAAAATTAAAGTTCACTTCTAATTTAAAGTGTATCTCTTTTTTAGTTTTGGATAGCGTGGGTAGGAGCAGACCCTCTGTCAGTTTTTATTGCTGTCTGTGTCCCCATTGGGGAGACTCACCCTATTTGTACTGGTGACTATAGTCATTGAGAGAGAAAGTGAGAGGAAATCCAAAATGTTGTCCCCAGAACAAGAGGTAAGGGGAAATCTTCCAATGGGGACATCTGTTCTAGACACAACTCTCTAAGGCAGCAAAACATGTATTTGAGGGATTTCCTCTAACTTTTTGTTGCATCTCTAGGACAGGAAGTAAAGGGACTCTCCCCCACTCATACACAGACAGCATCTCTAGGACAGGAAGTAAAGGGACTCTCCCCCACTCATACACATACAGCATCTCTAGGACAGGAAGTAAAGGGATTCTCCCCCACTGATACACAGACAGCATCTCTAGGACAGGAAGTAAAGGGACTCTCCCCCCACTCATACACAGACAGCATCTCTAGGACAGGAAGTAAAGGGGACTCCCGCCAAGTGTTATACAGACAGCATCTCTGGTACAGGAAGAAAAGGGACTCTCCCCCAAGTGGTGCACAGACAGCATCTCTAGGAAAGGAAGTAAATTGACTCTCCCCAAGTGGTACACAGACAGCATCTCTAGGACAAGAAGTAAAGGGGGAGACTCTCCACCAAATGGTACACAGACAACATCTCTAGGACAGGAAGTAAAGGGGACTCTCCACCAAATGGTACACAGACAACATCTCTAGGACAGGAAGTAAAGGGACTCTCGCCCAAATGGTACACAGACAGCATCTCTAGGATAGGAAGTAAAGGGACTCTTCCCCAAGTGGTACACAGACAGCATCTCTAGGACAGGAAGTAAAGGGGACTCTCCCCCAAGTGGTACACAGACAGCATCTCTAGGCCTGGAAGTAAAGGGGACTCTCCCCCCAAATGGTACACAAGCAGCATCTCTAAGACAGGAAGTAAAGGGGACTCTCCACCAAATGGCCCCCCCCCCCCCCTCCCCCCCAAATGGTACACAAGCAGTATCTCTAGGACAGGAAGTAAAAGGGACTCTCCACCAAATGGTACACAGACAACATCTCTAGGACAGGAAGGAAGGGCCTCTCCACCAAATGGTACACAGACAACATCTCTAGGACAGGAAGTAAAGGGGACTCTCCACCAAATGGTACACAGACAGCATCTCTAGGGCAGGAAGTAAAGGGGACTCTCCGTCCAAATGGTACACAAGCAGCATCTCTAGGACAGGAAGTAAAGGGGACTATCCATCCAAATGGTACACAGACAGCATCTCTAGCACAGGAAGTAAAGGGACTCTTCCCCAAGTGGTACACAGACAACATCTCTAGGACAGGAAGTAAATGGACTCTCCCCCCAAATGGTACACACACAGCATCTCTAGGACAGGAAGTAAAGGGACTCCCCCCCCCTTCCCAAGTGGTACAAAGACAGCAAATAACATTGACAGGGGTTTTAATGGTAAACTATGGGCACAGAAAACTTAAATTATATATATTTCTCAGTCATCACAAAGAATAAAAATCCACTTTGTGTGCCCCAAATCCTTCATGTCTAACATTGTACAGTAGCAGTGATTAATGTGCACAGAGCAGAGCTGTGGGAGGGGCTCAGCAGGCGCCACCCACTATAGGCTGCCCGCAGAAAACTACAGGAGGGGGCGGAGACAAGACCAGCCACCCTGCTTAAGCAGAAAGGGCAGCAGTGACCGGTCTTTAGTACAGGAAGGTAAAGTGTCACACAGGATCTAAAAGAAATACACAAAGCACATGAAGATTCCGAGACGAATACACGTGACTCTCGTATTTACACAATACAAGCTCATCTCGGAGTTCAGCTTTACCCCTTCTATACTCTATCCTAAATGAAGTAAAACTTTTTGGGCTACATGTACACCATGGAACCGGGAGGAGGGGCTAGAAATGGGACAGGTAAAGGTGCGAGAGGTGGAAAAGGAAGCACCAGCAGACCAATGGGGGCGAGCGGTTGGGCTCAATGTTCTGTCTTCTTCATCCTTGAGGGCAGATGAATGTCCTTTAGTGATGGACACGGCAGGATCAGGACACACGCAGCCAGATCCGGGACTGGTAATGCACACAGCTGGGTGTAGTAGGTGTGATCTTAAAGGGACACACACACACAGTGACAGCAGAAAAGTCTACTGCTGCTGCAAGGTGATGCAATGCTCGGTGAACTTTCCCCCGCTGGTCGGAGGAGATGGGGATTTGTAATGTGCAGCATCACCGCAGTGACAGCTGTGCTGGGGGAGAGCTTTGCAGCAGCAGGAGAGGGAGGAGGAGGGGATGGAGGATGCCGGTAGGCCCCATGTCCTGCTACCTGAGTGTCTGACAGCCTGACATACGAAGCTGCTATAAGGTGGGAGTTGGGGGGGGGATTAATGGCACTGACCGATCACCTCCTGGAGTTCGTAGCTCTCCCTGCAGATGGGCCACCCGATCTGCTGCTGGCTGTGTACCGGGGACTCCGTCTGCTCTGCCATGGTGCTGAGGAGGGCGATGCTGCGGCTGCTACTGCTGCTGGCCACCTCTGCTGCGGACTGCCACTTGCAGCGGGCTCGGTGACAGGCAGGCGGCACCGGAGAGAGGAGAGGGCAGGCAAGGGGAGGCGCAGCCGGAGCTTCCTCCTGTGTGACAGCAGCCGGGGAAAGAGGTGGCGCTTCCTGAGCCACGGCTGATGATGCACACAGCGCTCGGAGACCTGGGCACCGGAGGAGGGAGGTCACATCCGACCTGTGCACCGGACGGGGGGTCACATCAGACCAGAGGGGGGGTCACATCCGACCTGTGCACCGGACGGGGGGTCACATCAGACCAGAGGGGGG